CCCTTCCCCCAATTCCCCAGCTCTGTTCCCATCCCCTCAATTCCCCAATAAAAATCTTTAAAAAAAAAAAAGCACAACTCAAGAAAGATAAATTTTGGGGCCAGCCGAGTGGCTCAGTTGGTTAAGAGCTCACTCAAGAGTTTGAGCTCTGAGCAATAGCGGTTCGATACCCGACCTGAGCTGAGCAGCCGCTGAGCTACCAACAGGTGGCAGGATGGCTCAGATAAAAAAAAAAAGATAAATTTTGACCACATTAAAATTAATAACTGTTATGAAAAAAATCACTTAAATAAATGAACTTTAAACCTCAAAGTTTTCCAGTCCAAGCCAGAAAAAATTGTGAGGTAGGTTCATCTTATTTCGATTTCACAAAAGTTTATAAAATACTTAGTAAGTGTACATAGAAATTAATGAACAGAGAACTAAAAGAAAGATTAATAAAAACAAATGAGGTTTTTGAAATGTTTAATAAGAGTGCCACATCTCTAGAAAGACAGATAAAGAAAAAATACAAATACAGATTGAAAGAGAAGTAAAGTCACATTATAGAATGGGGTTAAGTATACGGGCAAACTGTAATAGTGAGATCCCTGTTCTTATTTACTGGGTGGAGGGGAACACAGGAAGATAGGTAAACTACCCTACAGTGTGTTGAGGGCTCCTGTCTCCAACTGTTGTACTCATCTGCCCAGCAGTCTCTCTAGAAATAGAGAGGATATATTGCAAGTAAATGCATTCATTAAAAAACCACATTTGCCTCTCTATCCCAGCCTCTCTCTCCATGCCTGGTACAGAGATGAAAGGGATTCCAGAGGATAAAAGCAGAGGACTGGGAAGGAGGGAAGTAACTCACAGCTAGGTCAGGGAAGAAGCAGCTCTTTGACAGTCAGCAAAGTCAAGCATATAACCCGAGACTTCCATTTGGTGTGGTGGCCAAAATGGCAGTGACATGAAGTATGATGGAATTAACAGCCTCATTGGACCTCTGCCCTCAGTCACTTGCCTGCTTTCTCACCTCAATAGTGGCACTGGAAAACCTGGAAAGAAACTTGAATGACTACTGGGATGCTCTATTCAAATCTCTTTTGGGTCTGCGCAGCTGGTTCACAGCTGCCTCCCTCACTGGACATTGCTCTCAGCTTCAGGAAACCATCTCACCCCTGGTCCGGGGACAGCCAGGCCAAGGAATGGCTGATGAGGGAGTACAAAGACCTGGCTCCCTTGCCTGCATGGGACAGCGATGAAGAGCCATCCTAATTCCAGACCTCCCGGTTGGAACAGCTGAGGCCTCAATTGCAGCCACACTGTGGGTTCTCAGTTCCTACCTTCACTTCCTTAAAGGTATATTTTTTAAGAGCACTTCCCCATATACCAGCGTGCAACTCCCTCAGTATGTTTCCAGAGACCCTAATCTGAGATAAAAGTTTAAAGGACCTTTTTAAGCATTCTTCCTTAGAGCCCAGGCAAAGTGTTCTTTCCTTTTCTGGAGGCCATCAACCCTTTTGACAATATAATGAAAACTAAGGACCCTCTTCTCAGAAAGGTACACATAGGCACTTAATTTTACTGTAAATTTTTACATACTACCGGGGGTGCCAAAGTAATGTATACACATGACTTGTATTCATCTTTTGTTATCAGTATATACTATTACAATCTTAATACAGTTTTTTCCTTTCTTAAAATGTGTATACTTTTTGACACCCTCTGTATTTTATTTTTCATTGTCTAGTTTCATTTTTCAATTATAGTTGACATCCAACATTATTTTATATTAGATGCAGGTGTACAACATAGTGGTTAGACATTTATATAATTTACAAAGTGATCCCCCCTGGTAAGTCTAGTACCCACCTGGCACATACACAGTTACTACAATATTATTGACTATATTCCCTATGCTCTACTTTACATCCCCGTGACTATTCTGTAACTACTAATGTGTACATTTACATACTATTTTAGAGGTTGTTGTTTTTTTTTTCTGCTTCCTCTCATCTTTAAGGCCCAGCTCAAACTTTACCACCCATGTGAAACCTCAAGTAATCTTTAGCACCTAATCATAAGATTTGCCACTATTTGTTGAGCACATACTCTCTACAAGACACCTGTGTGAAATGCTTTAACTTCATGATGCCTTCGATCATAACATGACTCTGAAGGGTAGTTATCTTTCTTTTGGAAATTTAAGGACTTGCCCAAAGTAACACAGCTAATAATCAGTAGGTATTGGATTAAAATTCCAATTTACAAAGCTTATGCTTTGAATCACAAAGAAAAAGAAAGTAAGGTTAAAGACAGTAACTCTTAAAAGATGACCTAATAAGTAATGAGAGAATTGAAATATAAATCCAGGTCTAACCCCAAAGCTGGCGCTCTTTAGCTTAAATGTGTCGGAGAGCCTATAATAACGAAAAAAGTTGATTTTGTCCCATTCCTGCCCTTTGCAACTCCTTTGTCATTTGCATTTGTTTCTACAGCAATTTCCAAAACATCTTACCTTGGCATCGTTGTGGCTTGCTGAGGTGGATCCCCACCCACGGAGGGGCGGTACGTCAGTTGCCGTACAACGTGGCGGCCCTATGCAACCCCGGCTATGTAGAAGAGCTGCGTGATATCCGTACAACATGGCGGTGCTCTCTCCGCCACGCCTCTGGTTTGCGTAACTTCCTGTCCTGTGCAATCGATTTGACCTTTAAAGGCGCATGCGCTTTCCTTTTCCTCTTCCGGGAACCGTGTCTAAAGGTATGGGTTACTTTTCTACTCTTCCATGGCTACTTCTTTTACAATCGGCCGCCATCCGTGAAGTTGCGGGAGCCGGAATCTCTCAAGCTCAGTCTTGTGAGCTGGTGTGGGGATAAGGGCTCAGGAGGAAGTCTGGTGGTGAGCAAGTCCCCGACTTTTAGCTTCAGACACCCCTCGATCCGGACCTCTCCTCCGGCGCCGAGAATGGTTGTAGCTCACCGCCCGGTGCTTTGCCGTTTTTGAAGTCCGATGGTTGGAGACAAATGAGCTGTGGTCCGGCTAATTGAGACTCCGGGAAATCGCGGAGCATTTTCATGTCTTTGGCCCATGTTTTAATACCGCTCCAATAGATGTTTTCAGGCTTTGGGAGGGCGGATGATCGGCGTGTGCCGGTCGTTGTTTCAACATGTTTTCTTTCCCAAGGCCAATAGCAAGGATGATAAAAATGTGTTAATAGGGAGTTTTGTGTCGTGGTTTTGGAGATGGCAAACGCAAGTGGCTGATTGCACCATTCGCCTTGGCCTTCCCTGTCGGTTTTGGTGTCTGACAGTTCTGTTTTAATGTAATGTTCGTAAGGAGCTTGTAACACTAACGACAGGCAGTTTTCAAGTTAACACTATGCTGCGATGAAGTGGTTACGAAATTGGGGATAAAAAACGAGATTGATTCATGTCTCGCTTGTTTTCATGTTACTTTTGCATAGTTCATTGAAAAATTTAAGTCGTTCATCTGTGTAACCTATGTGCTTAGTAATACCCAAATTAGGATTATTAATAAAGGACACAGAACGACACAGGTGCTGCTTTTAGACAAGGCATTGAACCCTGAGCATCCATTATGTGCCAGGCTAAATATATAGTTTTAAAATATGGAACATTTTCATAAGATAGCTTAATTAAGGATATTATGTATAAAAAGAAATATGGTTAACAAATGATGTGATGCTGTTTTGTCTTAAGGTTTGCATTATTTCTGCAATGCAATTTTACTCCATTCTACCTAATTTAGGCATTCAGAATGGTGCAGCGTTTGACATACCGTAGGAGGCTCTCCTACAATACAGCTTCCAACAAAACTAGGCTGTAAGTATTTCAGAAAATTTAAAGTGCGTGTTATCATTTACTCTGCAAAATGCTGAGCTGTCACCTATTCTCTTACTTCCTAGGTCCCGAACCCCTGGTAATAGAATTGTTTACCTTTATACCAAGAAGGTTGGGAAAGCACCAAAGTCTGCATGTGGCGTGTGCCCAGGCCGACTCCGCGGAGTAAGTGACCGTTTTGCTATGAATAAGATGACAAGGGTTGAACTTTTGAGCATTATTCCTTCATAAGGGAATGCGTAAAGGGGAGGTCACCAGTAAGAGGGTTAAGAATTACGTGGCATCCATGATCCAAACCTGTCAAGCATATAGACTTCGTTTTAAAGCCAACATGACAAATAGAGTGAGATGCCTTACAGATAGATCAGTACACCATTTCCCTTCGTAAACTAGTTTGTTTGCACTTAACCACCTAAAAAATACATCGAGCACAATTTCTGTTCCTGTTAAAGTATCACAAAATGATCTCAACTTTTGTTTACACAGGTTCGTGCTGTGAGACCTAAAGTTCTAATGAGGTTGTCTAAAACGAAAAAGCACGTCAGCAGGGCCTATGGGGGATCCATGTGTGCTAAGTGTGTCCGTGACAGGTAAATACAACCCTTAAATCAAATGGGCTTTCTTAAGCAAGTGTGTGTGTGCTGTGCCCATTACACTGCATGCTAATCATTAGAAGACTGGTGAAAAAATTATTTAAACAAAAGTTGCATACTTCAGAATCCTTCCTAGACTAGGGATAATTGGTGCTATACAAACTAATAAATAATATTAGACCAGAATAACTCAGTTAGGATTTGGAGCCATCTTCGTGCCAGATGCAGAAATTAAAATGACCTTGGTTTTGTAGGGGAGGCAGGTGAAAAAGTATTAGTTGTTTGGGCAATTAGATGGAGAGTGGGAAGTCTTAAAAGTAGGAACAAAATAGCTGTATAGTTCTAGTGGAATAGTAGGGGGTGATAGACAAGAAAGGCAGAAAACTCACATCACGAAGGACAGATTTTGGCTTGATCCTTAAAAATGGGAACTGTTGGGTTTGAGAAGGGTGGGGAAACATTTGGCAGGGTACCAGTAGGGAACATGGGTGGGATAGGTTTCTGTGTGAATTAAATGATTGCTTTATCTCTGGAGATAACTTTGATTTAACAAATGGCAGAACCTGCTGTTCACCAGGTCCTATACACTAATATTTACTTCCTCTCTAAATGGAGGTTCAGAGTACAGAAATTGTAAATCCTTCCAAATGTAATTTTTGTAAAAACCCTGTGAAACAGGTATGAAATTATTCCTGGGCCTTGCCACGAGGTAACTTGCCCAAGACCTCACAGCTAGTAAATATTAGAGTTGGCCCAGACAACAGGCTCTAGAATCCTTGCTCTTGATCAAGTGCCTGTTGCTAATATCTTTTAATGCCCTTCATTTTGGTTCCTAGCACATAACTCCTTTCTGTGTTTTTACTGGAAATTTTCCATAATGTGGTTAAAATATTCTAAGATGTTTTACAAATCAATATCATTAGTCCTGGATCCTAATAATGAAATGCAATTAAATGAAAGCTGCCATAGTGGCAGAGTAGCCTCCTGTGGGGGTGATTTTTCTAGTTCATCGTGACTCAGAAGAGAGAGGGTCAGGTATACTGGCATAGAATTGAATTGTCCTGTTTTAAATGTCAGTGTAGGAAGGAGACCTTAGGCTGAAAAGGCCTGTCCATATAGTTTCAGTTTTTAAGTTTTTAATCTGTACTTGTGGGTTTTATTTATTTTCCTGAGTATCTTGCCTGATAGATTTGCTCAGTTCTTTTATGGTACTTTTCCTGCCTTTGTTAAATCAGTGTTTTTGGTTTTGTTTTTAAACTATTCGTTTAATATTTTCTTTTCTAGGATCAAGCGTGCTTTCCTTATCGAGGAGCAGAAAATTGTTGTGAAAGTGTTGAAGGCACAAGCACAGAGTCAGAAAGCTAAATAAAAAAATGAAGCTTTTTTGAATAATAAACACAATTAAAAGGCTTGCTCTGTTGTAATTTGTAATAGACACGTTTGGTTTCCATGTGTTATCTGGGGACCCTGTGATTTTTGGTTGATTGCTTTTTCTAAACTATAGTGGGGGAGAGTATTGGTCACTAAAATTTTTTTTATGGTAGCTATAGAAGATTGGGCAGTTTGAGAAGAATGGCCCTGGTATCCGAATGTTTCTTTTAATGCCACTTGGGTCATTTTCTTAGTATCTCCTTCAGCACCAAAATTCATAGGACAAACCAAAGACTATTCAACAAGTTATTTGCAGTGGAACTTTTTCACATCGTCTTTAAAGCCTCCATTCCCTTAGTTTACTTTCAAAATGGTCTATTTGGAGAGTTGGAAACTCACTATCAGCAACTAATAAATGTGTACAAAACTCATGTCATGGGTTTAGTGAAATTTAGTTCTGATTTATGTTGGATATATAATCCAGGTCAGAACATTAAAATAATGGACGTTAGTATATTTTCTCTTTGGAACTATGTGATTGTTGATGACAACTTAATGTAAAAGGGCCAGCTGAGTGGCTCAGTTGATTAAGAGCTCTGAATAACAGCGGTTTGAGTCCCGGCCTGAGCTGAGCAGCCGCTGAGCTGCCAAATGGCTCAGCTAAAAACAAACAAAAAAAGTATGTAAAGATTTTAATAACTCATTCTCACAGTGCTGAGACTACCAAGCATCCAGGTATTCACACACAAACTTCAATTGTTTCCAAGACCTTTTTTTTCAGACCATGTCAAGCTTGTTTCTAATCTCAAGTGAGAATAGAGCAGAGCCCCCAGACTATTTGCACAAGCCAAAAAAATCTAGAAACTCAGTAGCTGGAGAAGTCTAGATTTTGACCCTTTTCCTCTAGACATCACTGTTACTACCATGATGTAACTTAGGTAGAATTACTGGCATTGTCTTAAGGCAGAGGAGCATTTGCTCTTTAACAAATGATAGTTCCCTTTTCCAAGGAAGGGAAAAGGCAGAAATCTGGCCTCGTGCACACTGACTTTGTACCATGCTGCCACCTAACTGGTAGGCAAGATTTTTAATCAAGATTTTGCAGAAAACTAAGTGACTAGGCTGGCAGTTGAACTCAAGCCTTAAAAATTTCTAACTTGATAACACCTCCATAGTGATACCTACCTAACACCTACTTGCCACGTGCCTGACACTTAAAAGTGCTTGACATCTTTAGTCTTCCCAACAATCCTGTGACACCCTTACTATCCCCATTTTACAAATGAAGGAACTAAGATAATTATATTGCAAATTATGTAGGGAGTTGAGATTGAATGACTGGACACCCCGAATAAACACTTTAGCACAAGAAATGATAGCTAAAACCCCATTAACATTCATAGTCTCAGACGACTGAGACCCATTAAGTTTTCCCCAACTGCTTGCCACTCCCAAGGATTGTTAAGCAACCAGAATAATACAATTATCTTGAGTAATGTTTAATCATAGTATTAAAAAAATTTAATGGGAATATAATCGAAAAGCATTAGATTCTGAGGTAGATTAACATTTCTCCATGACTTAGTGAGGCTGATGTATATAGACCTGTTTTGTGTTCAGGTATTGTGTTGGGGTGAGAATTTAAAAATTGACACTTTAAAAGAACTCAAAAACAATGTGCCTTAAAAATTAAATTCAGTTACTTGATTGCTTTGGAATCTAACCTAGTTCTTGAAAGGCTTGAGATGTAATTTTTTAATAATAGCCATGGAGGGAAAAGCCTTTATTGGCCTGCCAGCGTTCTTCCTACTACACAAAATTCCATAGAACAACTTGACTGAGCACAGCCTCGAACGTGAGGACTATCAAGTTTCAGCAAAATAAATGGGTTAAATTAGAAATTTGAGAAAGCCAAAGCATTAAAGTTACATACTTTTCAAAGAATTCTTTATATGTTAAATGGTTTAACCTTTTCCAAATTTGGAATGTTTTCACTTCTTTTATAAAACATCTTTGTAGACAATTTGGAAAGTATGGAAAAATAGAATGAAAAAAAATCCCCTTTAATTTCAATATGCAGACAATCATTTTTAATAGTTTAATGTCTTCCCATTTTGTTTTCGAGGCATAAGATACACATTTTAAATAAAAATTGGAAGCATATTATATATATAAATTTTCAACCCTTTTCCCCTGCTGAACCCCTGTGAACATACTTTGGAAAATTAGTGGCTGCATGTGCCATCAAATCTATGCCACAATGTAAATATTCCCTTTCTTTTGAATACTTGGGCTATTTCCAATTTTTCTCCATTTTAACACTTGTAAGCATTCTTATACATCTAATGATTTCATTTATGCTGATTAGTTTTTTAATTCATAAACTGGCATTGAAGAACAGTACTTAACAGTCAAGTTTTATTTGGGGGATTACAATGATGTTTCCTAAGTGTCTTAGCCTGCTAAAGCTGCTGTAACAAATTGCCGTAGGCTGGGTGGCTTGAACAACAAACCTTTATTTCTCACAATTCTGAGAACTGGTGAGTCCAACGTCAAGGTGCTGGCAGATTCAGTTGTTGGTGAGGGCTCCCTGGTTTGCAGAGGGCATAGGGAAGAAGCAAGCTCTCTTGTATCTGTTTTTGCAAGGGCACTCATGCCATGATAATGGCTCCAGCCTCATGACTTAATTACCTCCCAAAGGCCCCCCAACTCCTAATACCATCACACTGGGGATTAGGGTTTTAATACATGAATTTTGGAGGAACACAAACATTCACAACACATATCACATCTATAACATTAAGGATGTGAAATGTGCCTGATAGGTGACCATTTCTTCGCCTGCGTTAGTTTAGCCACTTAATTTCTTGACCACAGACCGCACCTCTTCACCCTCCCTGTTGATAATGCCTCTCCATCTCACTCAATGTCCAAGTGAACAGGACACTGAACAGGAGTGCAGTGGTCATCTTGTGGTGCGTAGATACAGAAGACCACAGAGTGGTGTGAGTGTAGTACCAACTCCGTCCAAGTGACCAAAATGGACTCTGTACTGTTCTAGGTTTTGATTTTGTAAAAAAAGAAAAAGCAAAACAAAGCTTTTATTAAATCCAGTTCTGTGTGTATGACTTAAAGTATTCTTGACAGGTTCCTAAAAAGACATGTGAATGTAGTCAGTGGTTTCTTTTAAAAGTCTAGTATTTCTCCTTCCCTTGAATTGCTTATAAATTCTACTAGAAGGATGCAGGGCTGGGGGGGAGGGGAGGGCAGGGCGGGGGAGTCTTCACCCTTAAAAGCAGAAACTCTCCATATGTTTAAATAAATAAATCAAGTTTATGTTTAGCAGCGTAATAACGTACTTACAGTTTTTACCCTAGTGATTTAGAGCTTGGGCTCCCAAAATTTTGATAGGTAGGGCTATATCCAGCTTTAACTCTAAACTATCTTATTATTCCACCTAAAATCATGCACAGGCATACCTTGGAGACATTGTGGGTTCGGTTCCAAACCACCACAATAAAGCAAATATCACAATAAAGTGAGTCATGAATTTTTTTATTTCCCAGTGGATATAAACCTGAGTTTACACTATACTGTAGTCTATTAAGTGCACAATAGCATTATGTCTAAAAAACCAATGTATATATCTTAATTAAAAAGTACTTTATTGCTAAAATATCTGAGCCTTCAGAGGATCCTAATCTTTTTGCTGGTTGAGGGCCTCATCTTCAATTTGTGAAAAAGATGCAGTATCTGAGGAGTAAAATAAAGTGAGGCCCAATAAAACGAGGTATGTCTCTACCATTTTTTGGAGTAAGATTGGGAAGCAGGGTTGACTATTATGATTTTTCTCTGAATTAGATTACTTATTGCTGGTAAGAGTTCTATAGTCATTAGATATTACCCATAGAGCCAGTGGTGTGTGGAGACAGGTCACCCTGGCTGTGAGAGCCAATTGTGTGCATCTGTTCAGTGATGTCAGGTTGGTACCTTGAAATTGGTATTTACACCTGGAAACTCAGCAAACTAAATGAGTCTCCTTTCTAAAGGATAAGATCCTTTGTATTTCTGGATCAAAAGATACTTTCTGATTTTCCAAATATTAGCTATTCATTAATTTTGAGTAAATCTTAAAATGTTTCTAGTTAATTTGAAGAATTATATAAATATTTTTGCCATATAAAAAAATTCTTGTATAATTTGCTTTAGCTTTCATCCATTCACTCAACAAAGATTTATTAGGAACTACTATGTTCCAGAAACTGTGCTGCTGGGTAAATATGAATACAATAGTCAACAAGCAGACTTTCCCCTGCTCTCCTGGTACATAGGAGAGATCATGCTAAATGAGGATACAAATACATTTTTAATTGCACACATTGGGATAAGAATCATAAAGGGAAAGTACACAGTACTGTGAAACAGTGTAAGAGTAGAACCTCTTACACTGGGGAGTTTAAGGTAGGCTTTTCTGAGAAAGTGATGTTTAAGCTCAGAGCAAGGATAAGTAGATGTTAACTGAGTGAAAACTAGGGAGAACATTCCAGACGTAAGAACCAACATGTGCAAATGTCTTAAGTCAAGAAACAGCTTGTATTTAAGAATAAGTGATTCGGGCCGGCCAGGTGGCGCGTTGGTTAAGACCTGGCTTGGGATGCCAGAGGGCCCTGGTTCGGATCCCACATATGAGGGCCAGTGACACTGCCCTC